CACACACACACACACACACACACACACACACACACACACACACACACACACACACACACACAGAAAGATGCATCAGACATAAAACAAATGGTCGGACAAACCAGGAAACTTGTTTAAAAGTTCTTACCAGCAACCAGAGATACCAGAAATATGCAGAGATGGTGCTCAGCACTTGAACTATGGCCGTCAGCAGGATTACATCCTTCAGATGTCTAAAAACAGAAGCCAGAGAAAATCAAAAACCACTTAAGACAACATGTTATAGAGAGTAAAGGACAGTCAGAAAACAGTCAGCTGAGATTTGTGTCGGTCAGCTTTTCCCGTTTTATTTTCCACCATCTTTGCATACACTTCCTGTTCTTTTCCTATGTGTTGTTTGTTTAAGACAAGTGATGCAAATTTAAAATAAACCTAGAGCTTTGCAACTAAATGTGGAATATTTTACATTATATACTCATTTTACTACAATGTTACACACAAAATCTAAAGGTTGAGTAAAAATAAACATGAAAATACTCATGGAGTTTGAAAATAAACTTTTTTTTCCCTTTCCRCTCTCGGAGGAGTAAGACACTTTTTCCTTCTCTCCTGCCCTTCCTTATCTTCCCTGCTTGCTGCTTGGAGCCTTCTCTACATTTTTCATCTGAAACCAGAAATTATGGATATTTTTATTTTTATGGATTTGGTTGGCTGATCTCTTAATAAATTTTTTGGAACAAAGTTTTTTCTTCTTCTATGGGAGGACATGTCAAAGGTGGGACCTCTGTTCTTCTCTGTTCTGGATTTATGTCTGGACTCTGATCACTGGATTCTACAGATTGGCTTGGTGGTCTCCTGGTATTCTACAAAACAGCRTCGGTGGCTTTTCATCTCCTGGCTGACTGACCAATTTGATGAATGGCCGTATACTATCAGCACTCAGACATTTGCCTTGAGCGAGCTGGACTCGGTCTGCAAGTGGTTGTATTGAGGGTCGCGGGCTGACTGTGGTTCCTGGACTTTGCTGGCCAGATGGAATTGATCTTGGAGAAGCTGATAGATCGGCTCGGCGGAATTGTCCATACATTTGTCTGATTGGATTCGCCACCTTGAGATGCACCAACAGACATTGAAGCAGATGGAAAATTGTTMTYGTCTGCCTGACYCTTCTGTTCCAAAAACAACTGATTACAGAATCTGGCTCTCTCTACAGCGGCCTTGATCTGTTGACTAAATTCTTCCTGGTTGGATTACGTCGACGAGGCTCTGCCCCACACCTCCCCCCCTCCTCTCACACCTGTCTGATCTGGTTCCTRGAGCAGGCTGAAGACCACACAGAATGAACAGTTACCATCAATATTCTGAACTATGGCTGCGCTGGTTTTGGGGACTCGATTCTTCGGGCCCCCCTAATCTCACTTACTCCTCTGACTAATAAATCTGTCCTATGCTGAGGTTTTTTCATAAACATCATAGTGTGTCACACTATAATATGATGTTTTTGCTTTTTTCCTCATCTTTCCATGTGTGGTTCTTAGTTTTTCTGTTGTTAAGGTAGCGCAACTGTGTTTTGCTGCATGACTTATCTTAACTGACCTCTCCCCCCCTTCCCTGAATGTATAGTACCTTGTGAATTTATTTCTGTGAAAGGCACTATATAAATAAAACTTGACTTTACTTTATATAAATAATGGAAAGAAATATTTGCACAAATCTTTGAAAATATGGTCAACAATGGTTTTGTCTGCCTGTCATGTTAGCTAAATATCTTGTGAACAAGATGGATTTTAATGAAACTTTCAGAAACTAATCAATAAATGTACGTCTATAACTTAACTTTAGGAGTTAGAATTCAGTCAATCTTACAGATGTACAAAGCTAAAATTTGGTGTGGTAGTAGCTGAAGATGTTCCCTCAACACACACTGTGAGCACAAACTGATAGTAAGATCATACCTTAAAACACTGCCTTTAAGTACTGACTCAACCCTGTTAGCAAAATAACTCATGAGCCACATGATGTATTTTTAAGCATGTTTTTTATTTTCATTTATTTTTTTTAAGTCTGGCCAAAGCATTTCTCAACATGAGATGATCTTAATTAAACTGTGGTATAACTGAGCGATACACGTTTTAAGGTATTTAAAGAATTTAAAACCTGACATTTTTTTTAGCAAATAAGGAAATAATTTTAGTAAATCTCCCAGAAAGACTCGTCTGTCTCTTGTCTTCAGTCATGCATTAGTTTAATAGACATTAGGAGTGGTGATAATATGTTTATTATCACTGTAGCCTCACAGAAAGGTTGTTTCAGAAAGCTGCCAGTAGCTTCACATCATCAGGTGTTTTTATATTTGCTGGTTAAAAACAGGGTCTGTCCCCTCGACACGCTGATGTTGTATTTTACTTACTCGGCCATGCCCTGCTCCATGTTTAGATCTATCCCCCCGTCCAGGAGACTCCCGTCCTCAGCAAACGCCGGCTTGGCCATGGCCGACATGGAGCGGTAACTGCCAACGTACACGGCCACGGCGAACACTAGCAGCAGCTACGGTCAGCAGACAGAACAGGTGTGAAGCAAGAAGAGGCTAAAATGTGGTCGACATCTTTACACCAGGTGGGAGGAGGTTGAACCCACTCACCCATGTCCAAAATGTACAACTACTGTAGAAAACCAAGAAATTCACAGCAGCATATATGGCCTGCAGGAGAGAGAAAAAAAGTTTATTTAATGAAGCAAAACAAACAGCTGCAGTGATGAGTTTCTTAAAGTGAACAGAACCATGAACACTGAAAAATCTCTGTTTTAAGTCGGCTTTGAGGCAAAAACGATGAATTACAAACAGAATGTCATTTTAGTGTTTTTCTTTGTCTCAACAACAAAAATGAGACATTTAAATAAAGTAGCAGCAGATTAAACTGACTATACAACTGAATTAGCTCCTAGCAGGCCTTTACAGGTGTGTGTCCTTTTTGCTGTTTTTAAACAGAACATGTTTATAATCTTAGTCAGGAGCATTTTAACCAAATCAACGAGCAAGTCTGCTTCGATGTCATTTAAAATTGACATGTTTTTGTAACCAGTGCTATATGTATGCAGATTTCTACTATAAATCACTCTTAGTTATCACAGCTTAACAAACATTAGACTGCATTATGGTCGGYGTCAAAACAAAAGTGTTGGCCCAATGCTTTCGCGTTATTTTTCACTTATCTGTATTAAAAAAGGAATCACGTATTTCTACAAATATTAGTCCTAAAGTCGACTGTTAGGAGGCTACAACTTAGAGGAACTTTCAGCAAACAGAGGGAGGAGCTCATCAGAAAAAAGKGGTTCTGGTGTGGCCCAGAGTTCAACTTAAAGTGTGACCTTTAGAGGCCATCTGACCCAGATTGTTTGCAAAAAAAATAAAATATAAACACCAAATTATTCCCAAAATGTAGATGTAACAAACAAAAAATACTTTTACTCAAACAGCTGAGAGCTGGAGGAACTGAAAGCCGATGTTTGTGACATTCAGATGTTTTGTTTTGTTCTCTAAAATGCTGTAATTTATTTCCAGCTTTCTTTGTTCAGATTGTATAAACTCTAGTGTAAAGAAAAAAAACTTAATATTTCCCATGTAAAAAGCAAACACTGAAACCTTGTCAAGACTTAAATCGTGTCGATTTTTAAAGAGAAATTTTGATCTGCTGATCATTCATGGATCTATTTGTCTCAGAATCTAAATAAAATGGAAAATAAATAATATTTTTATGTCTTACGTTGGCTCCAAGGATGACTCTGATGTAGAACTTCAGCGTGGCTTCGTTCTCATCGTGGATCTGCTTTTTTCCCTTCGTGCCGACTTTACCTTTGGGCTTTCAAACAAAACAGAAAAATAGTGAGCTACAGACTGATAAATACCTGATCAGGTAMTTTGAGAGCTATTTTAAAATTAAATTAAATTAAATAAAGTTCATGTTTTTGGCCAATAGTTTAAAAAATCACCTGTTTATCTGTCAAACTGTCTCATCTCATGCAGCTACAGAAAGTGAAACAAATTAAGTTTCTGTGTCTGGCTGTTAAAAACCTAAAGTTTTGAAGACAACACTTTGTCATGTGTAGAGAGATATCAGTGTACTTTGCATGTCTAACGTAAAGTGATATACAAATAGTTTCACTGAAATAGATCATCTACAAGGACTGAACCACAAATACATTCGGAAATGCAAATGCTCAAGAAATAAAATAACTTTAAAAGACATTGAGAAAGTTAGGGAAAGTTTCTCTGGGGATAATGTTAAAAGACTGGACAATGACGTGGCTCCTTGGATGCAACAAACAGGTTGATTGAAAACTTTTGCACTTATTTTTAATTTAGGCACAAKCAAAAATGCTCGATAGTGCAGCTGCTTAAAGTAGCTGTTGTTTTATAGGAACTGTAAATGTGACAGATTCACACTGTGACAGTGAATTAGGATGAAATAAATGAGTGTTTCTCTGCAGTCACTGCTTCTCTTCTGTTTCTCACCGCCATTCGCTCCGTGTCTCGCTGCAGATTATCTTCTCCACTCCGTCTGCTTTGTCCTCGGATCCACTCTACCTTTTTATTTAATCGTAATAGTGTTCAAATTCCGTTTTCTCCTTGCCTTGTCATTTTTTTAAACACATCAGCATTCCGGCGATRGGGGAGAAGAGACATATCCGGCGCACAAATGTGTCGTCACAAGGGGCGACAACAGGGCGAACTTGGAGAAATGTCTCCCTCTGCTGGTCAAAAATTATATTTTAAATAAATAAATAAATAAATAAATAAATAAATAAATAAATAA